AAACTAGTGCACTGTAGTATGACACCCTGGATTGCCAGGCGATAACTCAACATGAAGACCAGTCCTCTGTCATTATGCATGCAATAAATCCAATTAAAAAAGAAAGTTGCAAACTAAAGATACAAATAAACAGGTTTCCACACAACCTAAATTCCAATTTTTAATCTGATTCATGGGGACCAAACTATCTGTAACTCTGCAGAACACAGAGACCTCTGGTGGCTGAATAATATGCTGCAAGTAAACATGTCACTCATACCCACATTTTAATAAGCTTCTATATTATCTGAGCACTTTACAGTTTTAAAAAAAGAAACATAGGATCTCAGTTTGTCCCTTTGACCCCCAGGTGGAAAATTTGATTTTATATTTGAGTATGTAGTTACTGTAGGAAAACTAGATCAAACAAATCTATCTTATCAATCTATCCAGCTACATAAAACATTCCTCACTGCCATAGTGCTTTTACTGTTTTTTTTTCCTGAAGGCAGTGAGATTTGTGGTTTCTCTAATGTGTTCCAGGTTAAAATCATTTATGGTCGTGAAAGGAAAGGTGGTCCCATCAAGTAATATGGACTATTTTTACGGTCAGCTATGAAGATTAGGACTGAAGCCTGAAATTAACATTGTATTCATGGAAGGAACTAAAGGCATGAACAGCAAGCTATAAAGGTAATTGACCTGAGCTTCCAAAGAGAACTGATTTGGCTGTTTTCAGAGCTCTCCTTGTCCTTCTCAATATAGCATCCAGAGAGAGGGGTTGACTTCCCCAGATACTTTATAGTGCAGCCCCCGAGTGTTGTTGACAAAGTGTGCGTGATAGTTCTTGAAGTACCTAAAACTCTGATTCACCTTGTTACCCATGTGGCCAATGAGAGTGAATCTTTCTTGGGATAGCTGGGTGTCAGCTCTCAGACATTGCCAGAGCTTCAGTCACTCAGCACTCTCCTCTCAGCTCGTACCAACTCTAACATCAAATTGAAGTTAACAATAGGGGCATTCCAATCCCTGGACCCCTTTAAATAATGGCCCTGTGATATCCAGCCCGTGACACTGGCTACCCACAGAAATTCCAGTCCTTCTGCACCCAAAGTGCAGTGAACCCCAACTAGTTTTATCTTAAAACTCTGCTCCTGTGAACCATACGCAGTTGAGAGTACTTATGATAAAAAGTAGGTTTATTTAAGAAAGAATAAAAATTTAACCAGAAACAAGAGAATGGTGAAAAACAGTGGTAACACCACAAAATATAAAATGTGAACCTGGGGCTACACTTATCAATACTTTATCTAGATAATAAAATAGACTCCCCCCCCCACCCTCACCCAGGTCAGCATGCTGCTGAGCCAACCAGTTTCCCAAGAACCAGGGTCCAAATGTTCATGAAAACACAAACACACACACACACACACACACACACACACCCTCCACCATTCCTTAGAAAATGGACACAATGTGCCTTTCCCAACAGTTTGTGCTACTAAAATAGCTTTTTGTTTTCATTCAGAACCAGAGTGAGCCCCTGTTTTGTAGAGTTTCTTTTCTAACGTTAAGGGATTTTAAAGGGAAAGGAGTCCAGTAGTTTAAAGAAGCCTTCTTGAAGGCACAGGAACAAACCATCACAATGCACAATAAGAAAAGCATATATGGTAGGCGACCAGATTGGCTTACCAGGGAAATCCTTAGTGAGAGTAAACACAAAAAGGAAGCTTATAAGAAGTGGAAACTTTGACAAATGACTAGGGAGGAGTATAAATATATTTCTTGAGAATGCAGGGGAGTAATCAGGAAGGCAGATAGGAAGGTTGGAATTGCAGCTAACAAGGGATGGGAAAGGTAATTAGAAAAGTTTCTATAGGCATGTTAGCAATAAGAGGGTGATCAGAGAAGGTGTGGGGCCCTTACTGGATGAGGGAGGTACCCTAGTGACAGATGATGTGGGAAAAGCTGAAGTACTCAATGCTTTTTTTGCCTCTGTCTTCAGTGACAAGGTCAGCTTCCAGACTACTGCACTAGGCAATGCAGTATGGGAAGGAGGTGGGCAGCCCTTGGTGGAGAAAGAACAGGTTAAGAACTATTTAGAAAAGCTAGACATACACAAATCCATGGGTCTGGATTTAATGCATCTGAGGGCACTGACGAAGCTGGCCAATGTCATTGAAGAGCCTTTGGCCATTATCTTTGAAAATTCGTAGAGATTGAGAGAAGTCCTGGATAATTGAAAAAAAGCAAATGTAGTACCCATTTTTTAATAAGGGAAGAAGGACAACCCAGGAAACAACAGACCAGTCAGCCTTACCTCAGTCCCTGGAAAAATCATGGAGGGGATCCTCAAAGTATCCATTTTGAAGCACTTGGAAGAGGGAAAAGTGATCAGGAATAGTCAACATGGATTCACCAAGGTCAAGTCATGTCTAACCAATCTGATTAGCTTCTATGAAGAGGTAACTGGCTCCGTGGACATGGGAAAGTCAGTGGATGTGATATACCTTGACTTTAGCAAAGCTTTAGCAAATATTCTTACCAGCAAATTAAGGAAGTATGGATTGGATAAATGGACTGTAAGGTGACTAGAAAGCTAGCTAGATTGTCAAGCCCAACGGGTAGTGATCAATGGCTCGATGTCTGGAGGGCAGTCGGTTTCAAGTAGAGTGCCCCAACGATCGGTTCTAGGGCCAGTTTTGTTCAACATCTTTATTAATGACCTGAATGAATGGATAGATTGCACCCTCAGCAAGTTTGAGGATGACACTAAGTTAGGGGGAGAGGTAGATACATTGGAGGGCAGAGATAGAGTGACATAGACAAATTGGAGGATTGGGCCAAAAGAAATCTGATGAGGTCCAACAAGGGCAACTGCAGAGTACTGTACTTCGGATGGAAGAATCCAAAGCATTGTTACAGGCTGGGGACCAACTGGCTAGATAGCACTTCAGCAGAAAAGGACCTGGGGATTACAGTGGATGAGAAGCTGGATGTGTGTCAACAGTGTGCCCTTGTAGCCAAGAAGGCTAGTGGCATATTAGGGTGCATTAGGAGGAGCATTGCCAGCAGATCTAGAGAAGTGATTATTCCCCTTTATTCAGCACTGGTGAGGCCACATCTGGAGTATTGCGTCCAGTTCTGGGCCTCCCACTCCAGAGGGTCCAGTGGAGGGCAACCAAAATGATTAGGAGACTGGAGCACTTGTCCTATGAGGAGAGACTGAGGAATTTGGGCTTATTTAATCTGCAGGAGAGAAAAGAAGAGTGAGGGGGGATTTGATAGCAGCCTTCAACTTCCTGAAGGGAAGTTCCAAAGAGGATGAAGAGAGGCTATTCTCAGTAGTGACTGCTGGCAGAACAGGTAACAATGGTCTCAAGTTGCAGTATGGAAGGTCTAGTTTGGATAAGAGGGAAAACCATTTCATTAGGGGGTGGTGAAGTACTGGAATGGGTTACCTAGGGAGGTGGTGGAATCTCCATCTCTAGTGGTTTTCAAATCCCAGCTTGAAAAAGCCCTGACTGGGATAATTTAGTTGGGGTTGGTCCAGCTTTGGGCATGGGGCAGGACTCGATGACCTCCTGAGGACTCTTCCAGCCCGAGGATTGTATGCGAAACTGCAGCCCAAAAGGCTAAAGTTTGACAAAAATATGAGCAACTGAAAATGAAATCTTATAAGGGGAATGTTGAGCATCTCTAAAAATAGGCAGCACTACAGTCCTGCACATAAATCAAATAATATTTAATCAAAGAGAATAAGCCATCTTCTGTGAACCTTTCTTTACATGACCTTACAAACCTCTTCAAGCACATGTTCCTGTCGAAGTACTTGATTCATCGTCTAAATGATAAGCCTTCAGCCCTCCAAAAGCCAAAGGGACCTCAGAAAGATGTATACCAAGATATTAGAAAGAAGTTACAAGTGCCATTAGGCAACTGCACTGACCTTCACAAGGTCTATAGAGTGTACTCAGCAGAGTCTCTGGGTCAAATTCTGCAGTGAATGCAATTTGCTTGACTAAGGACAGTAAAAATTGACCTTCCTTGGGCACAGAAGATGCTGTGTTCTGAGCTCTGTATTATATCTTTGTGGTTTGTGTCCGTCTGTATTAGATATGCGTTTAGGCTGACATTTTTTGAAAGTTGCCTTAAAGGATTTGAAAGGCAATTTGTTTTAATTTTAATAAGAAATCAGCATCCGGCTCTTTTACACACAACAGAGAATATCACCATTATTATACATTTTTGATAATTACAAGAAATAAGGTTTGAGCCCTCATACCTTATATACAAATATTTTCTTAGCTGCCTATCTATGTAAATAGTTTACGATTTTCAAGATACAAAAGCTAAGAAAATAAATACAAATAAGGCTAACCACTGTTGTAACGAAAACATAACAAAGGAAGTCTGATCAATGTTCTAAACAAAATAGACATTTATAACAGAAAAGTAATTTGACTTCTGTGAGGGAGCTGAAGGAAATCTTTTCAATTAACTGTGCTATATTTTTACCAGCAGGTGGCATCACCAGACAACTAGACACAGCAAAACAAAATATTTAAAGATCGTAATAGCTACAAATCTAACAATATTTATGGTTTTACATTCAGAAAATATAGACACAAATATGATTTAGTCACCTCATGATTATGTTTAGTTCATTCCTTTATTTTAGCTGCTGTTTATTGTTCCCTATCCTAATCTTGATTCCTAAAATATATAGGAGAACTAACAGGAACCTAAGCTATTTCTGGTTCCAGTCAGCTGACATAGGTTAAGGAAACATGACAGGGATACGTATGCATTGCCAGCATTGGCCACAATAAAATCTTTCATTGCCATAGGCCTACAGAACCCCAAAAGACTTAAGATACTTGCCCCAGTGTTGCTGCAAACAGAGTAAACTGATATCTAAGTAGGATAATAATGCATTAAGGGCCTGATCCAAAACTCATTAATATCAGCAGAAAGATCTTGCACTGACATCACTAATTATGGCATCAATCTCAACATACAGTACCAAATATGGCTGGAGACATCCTAGGAAGAGACTTCTGGAGGGGCGATATCTCATCATTAAAAGATGCCAGAGTGCAGGCAGGCCAAAGCAACTCATTTACAAACAGCCGTTTCAAATCCATGCTGGCAGTCTGATAACCAAGAGTAGATTTCCTGTTGTAAAGAAAAATAGCAATAGTGGTATGTGTAGTTAAATAATGGGCTGTTTTCATATTTAGATTTAAATAACTAAAACAAGTCTAGCCATGAGACACCCTAACACACTATTAACAGAATTAAATCCCAGTGGCATTAACATAATCATTTGATCAGCCAGACACCTTCAGAAATGCCTCTCCACCCCACCATCCTTGTGGAAAGCACAACCTCTGAGAAGTCCATCAGGTCTTTGGAAGGTCACCAAATTCAGTTTGGAACTTGGTCCAAAACCAATTCCTGGATCCCTCCCACAGAATGCCCTGCCAGTCACCCCTTCTCTGGTATAAGTAGGGGATTCAATTCAGATGCTGTTGGGTTATGACTTTCTGCCTGGAATAGTTATCTGGGCACATTGGAACAAGATTTTTGAAAACTAACTTATTATTTGAATTGCCCCAAACCAGTGAAGTACACAAAGTTACTTGTCATTTTTGAAAATCTCTGTGCCTCAGTTTCTCCTACCATTCTTTCACAGACTGCCTTTATAGACAGTCAACTTTAGGAGGTAGGAACTGTCTCTTGCTTTGTGTTGTGCAGCACCCAACATGACAATGCAGCCCCAACATCCACTGAAGACTCTAGGTCAGAGGTCTGAAACTCCCAGCCTGTGGATCATTCTCATCTGGAGCAATTGTGCACTCTAGACCAGGAGTCCCAGAGGACCGGGAGGGGACTGTCCACCACCATTCCCCAAGCCCCACCCCTTTTCTTCATTGCCCCAGACTCTCCCTACAAGGGTACCCAGCCCCTGAGGACATGTCTCTAGGGGTTTCTGGGGAGGACAAGCAAGGTGGTGCAGGGCGGCAGCAGCAATTGTGTCCCCTGTACTCCACACAATAGAAGGAGCCATAGGGAAGCAGAATGTATTTGACAGGTGCACTCACTCCATTGGGCTCTGCTTCCGCGATGAGTGAAGGAAGGCCTGACCACTGCTGCCTCCCTGCGCAGCACCCTGGTAATCCCTGAGGTCGCATCCCTCGGGGATGGAGTATCATGGGGGGAAAGGCTGGGGTGATGGCAGGAAGGGGCAGGGCTTGGGGAATGGTAATGAATAGGACCCCCTGGTACTTCTGGGAAGGATTGTACAATTCATCCAGCCAGGGATGGCCCGCGGGCTGGGAGTTTGAGACCCCCTGCTCTAGGTGCTACCGTAAAACAAACCATAAATGACCTGTTGACATTCAGATTACACAAAAACTGTAGCTGAGAGTCTGGGAATCGCAGTGCTCCATTCCCACAGATTTCCCAATTTATGTACATGAGATAGCAATGGCCATGATTAAGTTTTGTATTGTGCATAATTTTCTATTCTAATAATTCACTTCTTCCTCACAGTAGGCAAAATTCACTTGCCACCCATTAGGGTCCAGCCTTGCGAGTTACCAAATGACTTCAAACTGCAACTGAAATCAAGGGTTGATGAGGGTGCGCTGCACTTTTCAGGACTGGAGCTTAAATAGTTGGAAAACGGTCACCATTTTTAATAGGGTCCTTGGAAAGATTCAGAGCTATTCCTCGTCTATTACCCCACCAATTATATCAAGTATTTCTGGCAAGGAACCAAAATATTTAGGGACCAATTTCATCAGCTTTGCTGAAATAGTCAGCTTGATTGATAGTGCACTGCTTTTACAGATAATGACTTTCACTGGATGTACGCTATTTAGATAAATATCCTCAAGAGATACTAATATAAACTTTTGTGTGTGTTTCAATTCCATACTTCTTACAAACCAGTAAGTGTCTCCTGTTTTTCAGACAAACTAATTGGGGACACTTATATTTTAAAGAGCAATAGACTTATTTAAAAAAATCCTCATGAGCCCTTGATTTCTCTAATATTTTAAAACTGATTGTTAATAGGATCATATTGTTTAAGGCCAGAAAGGACCACCAGATCTTTCAGCCTGACCTGCTATATCCCACAGGCTACCTACCAGCACCTCTACATGAAATCCAACAACCAGAATTAGGCCAAAGAATTACACCCCACAGGAGGGACCAAGATGCACCAGTGCCAGATGCTCTTGCAGTGGTAGGGAAATAAGTGAGATACACCCACATAATCCTGGCAAGTGATCTGCCTCCACATTCTGCAGAAGAAGGTGAAAAATAAAACAGTCTCACCTGGCAGAAAATTCTGTTCACATTCAGTGAACACTACATGAGCATGAACCAGCCAGCCATGTACCTGAAAGCGAGAATGCTCGGTGGCACCTCAGAGCCCTTACCTATACTGTCCCATCTCCCTCCCATCACCAGTCATGCCTATCACTAAGGCTTCGGAATCAATATTTTAAAAAAGATTCTGAAGATTTGTCAGGGGCAAAAACATTTGTCAGGGGCAAAAAATATAATGCCTGCCTGACTCCTGAAGCTGGCTGGCTAAAACCCCAAAGCATGAGTTAGTAAGACATAAATCAGAAGTGAGCCTCAGGGACAGCCAAGCTCCACCTCCTACTATACCAATAACTCCTTCATACAGTTACATTCAGAAATTTGTCCAGCTGTCTTGACACTAATTAAGTTGTTCCCCTCCACACAACTTCTATTGAGAGACTGTTCCAAGACTATACTCCTCTGATGGTCCATAGATTCATAGGTTTAAGTGCAGAAAAGATAATCCTGATCATCTAGTTTGACCTCCTGTACACCTCAGACCACAGAACCTCATCCATCCACTCCACTAATAGACCTCCAATGTCAGATTTTGTACTTTATATGATTGGATTTCAACCTATTTCAGTCACTCTAGTCTTCAAGGTAATCTTCATGCATAATATTTTAATCTTGCTCTATACTGACAATGCCTCCTGACTTTGTATCATCAGCAAATTTCATTAGCACACTCCTTTTTCTGACAAAGTCATTAATAAAACTGTGGAATAAAATTGCTGACAAGACTGATCCTTGAGGAACTTTGCTAGTAACTTCCCAATAATTCACCTTTCAGAACAAGACACATGACTCTATCTATGGGAATCATGCAGCAGAAATCCCTGTTCATTGCTTTGAAAGCGTACTTTGTGTATTTTATCAAATCAGTGGCAGATCTACTCTTGCACATTATGTCACTATTATCAATGTATCTGTAATGGCCAGCCAGACAAAGAGGCACTGATAGAGTTAGAAAGCAAATCTGTTAAAGATGATGAGGCTTCTATTTACTGCTGCTAAATCTTCCTGCTCCTTATAATTAAAGGAATGATTGATCTAGGTAACTGCATTTCCACTTGAGGAATAAAAAACATTTAAAGCCTGACCTGATACATGAAAATACAAAGGACACAGGCTATTGTAAAGAGATCTATTTAAATCACAGTACCATACTAAATAAGCACCACAAATTGCTAAGTCTATCAAAGAGGTAAAGACACAAGAGACATGTCTTTGTCTGCCTGCAATTTACCATAGGCCAAAACCTGCTCCCCCACAATGCAGAAAAATTACTGATGGAGAAACTGAGGCACTGATCCACAAAGGGACTTCGGCATTGTGATGCTGAACATTACAGTATCTATCTTTTTGGTGTCTAGATAATCACAGGAACTACTATGATTCACAAAGCCTTAGTTAGGCACCTCAGCCCCCTAAACAGTAAATGGAAAGAGGTAATGGCCTCAGAATATGATCCATAAAAGCCAACATGCTAAGCTGAAAGCTGTCTAAGCTAGCCCATGGGAGACTGCCAATGAGAAGGGTCGGTTAAGTCTGCTCCTCTTACAAAACAGACTCTTAACATTAGGCTGCAGGGAGGTGCCTACCCTGCTAGCAATTGATAGCTGGAAACTCTTCTTTTGTAATCTTCTAGGGGGGGGGGGGAGAGAGATGGGCTGGCTGGGGGAGGAAAGCACCAGAGCCCATCCCCCATTGTGGATGCTCAGACTTCCCCTGGCTCCCCCCCCTCCCATCCTCCTCTATTATGATTGCTCACCCCCTGGCCCCCGGAGCAGCCACACCACAGCCCCAGCTCTGGGAGCAGTCAGGCAACTCACATCAGCTCTGCCCTGGGATCAGCTGGGCAGCTACACCATGGCCCCAGCCTTCCCAGCTGGTTAGTGCACTGGTCAGCTGGGCAGCCACACCACAGCCAGAGCCTCAGCCTTCCCCAACTGGACAGAGCATAGTAGCAAGGCCACCACGGTCTTTTAGGGAAGGCAATGCCTGTATTACCCGCAGCCCCGCTCAAGAGCCAGATGTTTAAAATATCTATGGCTGGCCCACATCAACTGATTCATAAAAACATAAGCCGTACTGGGTCAGACCAACGGTCCAGCCAACCCAGTATCTTGTCATCTAACAATGGTCAATGCCAGATGCCCCAGAAAGAGTGAACAGAATAGGTAATCATCAAATAATCCCTCTCCTGTCATCAATTTCCAGCCCCTGACAAACAGTGGCTAGGGATGCCATTCCTACCCATTCTGGCTAATAAGTATTGACAAACCTTTCCTCCGTGAATGTATCTAGTTATTTTTTGAAACCTGTTCATGTCCCAGGCTTCATAACATCCTCTGGCAATGAGTTCCACAGGTTCACTGGTCGCTGCATGAAGAAAAACTTCCTTTTGTTTGTTTTAAACCTGCTACCTATTAATTTTGGTTGGTGACCCCTAGTTCTTATGTTATGGGAACAAGTATCTTCTCTCTTTCTCTGTGGATCCACCAGTTTTAAAGTGCTGGAAGGAGGGATCAGCTTCAAAAGTAGCATATTTCTTCTCTTTCCATCAGTGATAAAGTTACCCTAGCCTTCTGTAGGTGGGCTTTCTGTGGGAAAGTCCATGTAGACTTATGGGTTTGTTCCTTTTATTTCCTTCCA